TGTTGACCAGGATGGTCTCGATCTCTTGACCTCGTGATCCACCCGCCTCGGCCTCCCAAAGTGCTGGGATTACAGGTGTGAGCCACTGCGCCTGGCTTTTTTCTTTTTTTTTTTTGAGATAGAGTCTTGTTCTGTCACCCAGGCTGGAGTGCAGTGGCATAATCTCAGCTTACTGCAACCTCTGCCTCAGCCTCCCAAGTAGCTGGGACTATAGGCTGACTTTAAATACCCAATAGAAGAGATAAGACTGGAGTCCAGATGACCAGTAGGAATGGTGGCTGTTGATTAAGAGCTTTTTGGCACTGTGGCTGGGCCTGATGCTCAGTAACTCTAGTAGGCCAACGGTGTCCCCTTAAGGAGGAACTGTTGTTTCCATTTTATATTTGGGGAAACTGAGGCTCACAGAAGTTAAGAAAGTTGCTCCAGATTCCACAGCAAGCCGTTGTCTCTTCCCAGCCAAGGGAGGCATTACACAAAGCAAAAACAAGCCCTGTGGGTGGACACGATGAAGTTTGGCACATGAGCACTTTCAGCCTCGTTCAAGGGCCTGAAATGAGTCATCTACAAATCAAAGAACAAGCTTCTCCAGACACACGATGAGGCTGGTTCGTACATTAGGAGGAGCTGGACCCAGATAATGTGGTTCTAAGCAGAGAAGATAGCTTTGTTCCAACAGTGTCCCCTCTGCAAGCCCTTGGGAGCTGGCCAGGCACAGTGACTCATGGAAGAGGGGATGCGGTGCCCTAGTGTCCGAGCGGCACGGCTTGGCCGTCTACTGGGCTTCTTCCAGCTCACAAACCCATTTGTTTTTACCCTTCAATGTGAACCAGATGTGGGCACCTTGCTCTCCAGGAGGTCCCTCACCCACACCCCCCCACCAGCCCCTAGGCATCATTGGAAGCCGCAGCTGATGGACCAGCCTCCTCCCTGCTCTCCTGACTCTCACCCCCACGCCCCCTCCCTCACTGCACCTCCTGCACCTTCCCTTCCCCCAACATGATTTGAAGCAGGAAATGACATTGGACAGATCTCAAAAGTCCATATGTCCTGGGCAGTCTCTCTAGGAATTTTCTGGGCCTCCAGCTTGTTCTGTGTGTCATGTCCTTCCCACTCACAGTATCTGGGGGGAGGAAAGTGCTAAAGGAAAATGAGAGGGAGCATCCTTCGTCGCGGTGCTACCTTATCCCACTGTGATCTTGGTCAAGTGATTATTTATTTATTTATTTATTTATTTTTTATTTTTTTGAGACGGAGTTTCACTCATGTTACCCAGGCTGGAGTGCAATGGCGCGATCTCAGCTCGCCGCAACCTCCGCCTCC